CACCCAGGCCACGCGGGCCTCCCCCATGAGAGTTCGCCCCGAGCACGTTTGAGTGAGTACAAAATTGCCGCACTGCCAAAAAATACAAAAAGCACCCTCTATTTTGTGTCACCCAGGTATCCCAGGCGGGCCAACCCCGTGCACGTTCACCCGCCTTGGTAACATAATTGCTGTAGCAAAAGTGAATCTTTTGGTTCACTATTTTTATAAGTTAATAAGAGATGTTCCGGCATAAAATTCTGTAAGTTTTGTCGAGTTTGATTTGCTTTTTGCTTTTCTTATACCTTCAGTCAGTAGGTGAGCTCCTTGGAAGGAGGTAACATTACTGCAAAGATCTTATCTTAATAGAAGTGGAGAGAAAGACATGTTATCATTCCTTGAATTGCGCTCACACCGCCAGTACCTTTCCCAGCCAAAGAAAAAGAGCCCGCCGGTTAACACGGAGGCCGGCGCTGGCCTTCCACAGCGGCCAGATTCATCCCGAATCGTTTGCGTGCAGGGTCCCGCGGCCAACATATGGGAAAGTTACTGGCGGTTAAAAGATCTCATGTTWCTAAARAGAAGGGATTGTGAAGTATCATACTATTATAGGGTTGAGGCTGTATGTCCGACGCATACTTGCATCACGATTTACCCACTACAGAACAATCGATAGAAATGTCATAAAGAGGTCATTCGTTCGGAGGAAAGATTAAGATTCTTGAAGTACATTGCCAAACAGTGTGAACCTGTTCCACTGTTTGAAAACATAAAGTATGAAAACATGAAGTACGAAAGATTACGATTCTTGAAGTACATTGCCAAACAGTCTGAACCTGTTGTTTAAGAAAAGCACCAAGGCTTTTCACCATATCCACCCATCTAGTAAAACCAAAGTTTTTGAAAACACGTATTGAGTCAGCACATTTGCAACGTACCAAGTGTTTGACAAAATGAAGGGGTAAAAGTTAAAAGGAAAAGAATGCACAGCGCGGCAGATACTAATTTTTAGCAGAACTATGCGCCTCAAATTCGCTTACATACTTCATGCACAAAAGTCACATTGTTTATCGTATTCCTGCGTTTTTCCAATGGATTATACCATCAAAATTCCCTCATCTCAGAAACTTGTCAAACGACCCCTACCTCCGAGCCTGTTTTTGCCACGCGGCCAGGGAACCCGGGCAACTTGAAACCTACCCGTGAGGGAACCCACTTTGTTTTCTTTTTTTTTCCGGCGGGGCAATCTTGCACCCGTCGAGATTTGCCAAAATCTGGCTTTATGTTTGTATTTCATGGCGACTCACCGAAATGTGTTTTTCAGATACAAATGACATCTTAAGGCGCTTAAAAGGTTTAACTCAGAGGGCAATAATCTTAAAGGGGTTTTTGTTTTGCCCCTCTAATTTCATAACCAATTTTTCGTTGACAGTTAGCCAAAAGTTGTTCAGGTAGGAGTATAGTGTGCGGAGGACCGTTGGTGGTTGTTGACAAGGCTCCGTGCAATTTTTTTTTTTCAATAATAATAATAATAATAATAATAATTATTATTATTATTTTTCAACCAGTGTCCTTGCAAGGAGAGAGGGAATCTTGTGTTTCATTCTGTTTTGAACAGTTTTGTATAAAAAATCGTTTGTCATGCTTTTTCTTCTGTCTTCCTCCTTGCGCTTTCTTTCGACGATTTATCTGCAAATAGCCGTAGTTACAGGAAGGCTGTTATAGCTCTTGGGCAAAAGTCAGTGGACATATCAAGTAGTTGCAAATTCCGAGGTTGTTGTTGTTGTTGTTGTTGTTGTTGTTTTTTTCCAACCAGTGTCCTTGCAAGGAGAGAGGGAATCTTGTGTTTCATTCTGTTTTGTACAGTTTTGTATAAAAAATCGTTTGTCGTGCTTTTTCTTCTGTTTTCCTCCTTGTGCTTCCTTTCGACGATTTATCTGCAAATAGCCGTGGTTACAGGAAGGCTGTTATAGTTCTTGGGCAATTATAGTTCTTGGGCAAGAGTCAGCGGACATATCAAGTAGTTGCAAATTCCGAGGTTTTTTATCATCATTGCACTGCAGTCAGGGATAATGCCAGGCCAGAGTGCTTGGATGATCCTTATCCGTTTCGATATATGATAAAGGGGATGCTGGACCCCGTTCCCAATTTTTAATGCAAAGGACCTTTTGTGTTTGGAAAAAATAAAAATACAAATTGTTTGGTTTGCAGCTCTGCACGACTTGCAAGCTGTGGCGAAGGCGAGATCACAATTTTGAAACTACCAGTCCTTTGGCCTGCCATTATCTCGAAGCCGAGGCTTGCCCGCTGCCACTACTTTCAGGGGTCGACCGCCAGAGCAAAATGACTGGCGGTTTTTGTTTTTCGAAAAAAATAAAAATATATCGTTTGGTTTTGCAGCTCTGCTTGACTCGCAAGCTGTGGCGAAGGTGAGATCACAATTTTGAAACTACCAGTACGCCGCCCTGCCTTTTCTCGAAGTCGAGGCTCGCAAGCTGCCACTACTTTCAGGGGTCAGCCGCCAGAGCAAAATGGATGGCGGCACCCGCCATGAGGAGGCCCAAATCGGTTCATCTGTTTTTTGGTGCGCAGCACATTTCCCGACTTGTAGAAAAACTGCCTGCGAAGTACTGGTGATTTAAAACTATCATGCTCAAAAACATATGTCATGTTTTCGGCAAAGGGTCAAGTTCCTTCTCGGGGTTCTAAGATGTTATTGGAGGAAGAACAATTTCATTGAAAAGTTTAGGTTTTCAATAGGGAAGAGGGAAGTAACCCAACCTTGCCCTACATTCCGCCCCTAGCCCCATGAGCAAAAGGCGTTCAACAGCCAGTACATTGCCCGAGGCAAGTTGAGATTCGAAAATGAACCATTCTGAAAAGTTTGGAGGATTGGGGCCGCTGAACAAAATTGCTGACGGAGCCAGCCGAAGAAAAGACGTGCGCCGCTGGCAGTTGAGCGCCGCTTGGCACGCAGTAGGAATCCGCCGCAGCAAAAAAGGTTCGGATGTACTGGTCCTTTAAGCTGGCTGTGTACCACAAAGGAGAGGAATATCTCAATTACTTTACAGCAGTGGTGCACCTAACCTCGTCCCATGGATGTGGGAATGGAGTCGTCCCATGGATGTGGGAATGGAGTCGTCCCATGGATGTGGGAATGGAGTTGCCCATTGGATGTGGGAACGGAGTCATCCCATGGATGTGGAAACAGAGCCGTCCCATGGATGTGGGAGCGGACGTTTACTCATTGCCTTCATCTACAAAGGAGGTCCATGTGCATGATGAATGAGTCTCGGAAAAAGGTACACGTGGACTGCTTCCGATACAAATTTGTGTGAGAAGAGGACCACGTGCAGCAAGCCATGTGAGGCCTTGTCCACGGACTTCTGACATCAGTGCGACATGTTCCTCTGTCGACGAAGGATGGTTCTTCAAAGGTTCTCTGCCCTTTTCGTAAGTTTCTCGCCCATTAGTAGAAGCCGAATACCGTGGCAGCGTTGAGGGGGGGGGGCAAAATCCCAATTGCTGCTACAGTGAAGGTGTGTAGCACACACAAGCACAATACTTCGACAATATCATGGTTCAGCACAACGACGACTTGCGCAAGATTGTCCCCAGGATATACGGCCTGTGGCCGTCACCCGTAGCCACATGTCGTTGAAAAGCCGTCCCCCCCAAAAAAGGATTACTAGGGCGTGAGCGGGCTAAGGCTACTTGGGGGAGGGGAAGCTCAGTGGAGGCTTTCCATCAATTGCGTTATGGGAGGTGGGGAGACTAACAGGTGGGTTGAGGAGGATGGGGACCCAATCCTGGCAATTATCGGGACTAACTGCCGACCGATGCTGCTCAGACCACACTCTTCACTACTGACGAAGAGTATCTAGCATTCCGTACTGTCCTCCAGTGACACAGACTGGGGTCTAGAAGATAAATGTTGCTTTTCAGCTACATCTTTTGCTCGAGAGTACGCCCCAATCATTATTGCTGTATTTGGGGCAACTTGCAGTCTTGACACAGCTATAATGTCTGCGGAAGGCTTGGTCATTATTGCTGTGTTCGGGGAAACTAGCAGTGCAAGGAAAATGAGCGATAGCGAACTTCAGAAACCAAGCAGCATCATACAAATGAAACCAGATAGTCGTCACCTCGAACCAAAAGCAGAATTGCAACACGAGTTTCACCAAATAAGAGCACAGCAAAAGCTCATAAGTGACAATGTTGGAATAGTCTCATCATCATCAACAATGAACCAATGTCGACATCCTATCTGGCGCTCTGCGCCCAGACTACAAATGGCAGATCCTATCTGGCCTATCTACAATGCCGCTGGTGACATCAACAGCTCCCCGAAGCACGAGCAGATCTCGGCCAATGCCGTCCCCTCAAGCACCAGGCACCAGGTATGTCTCTCGCATCACTCACAACCTCGATCCCCCACTCACAAATGCCACGTGCACCCAAGGACCACCATGCGCCCCATCCAGCTCAGCGCAGCGCAGCTCGGCTATGGCTGCCTGCTCTCCCTCCTCGCCCGTGAGCGCGTGGGCCTGGCCAGTGTTTAGCGCAGCATGCAGCCAGTGCCCCAATGCCAAATGCGAGGGCAGGCACTTTCCGAAATGGAAGTGCCCTGCCTGCTGCGTGTGTCCTGGCTGCGCTGGGCCCATGCCCAGAAGCTTCCGGTAGGCCCCGAGAGGCTGAGCCTTGGCCCAACCGAATCAGGCCCAGGGCCTGTGACGGTTGCCTGGCCCAACTGCTTGCAGCCTGCGTTTGGCGCTGCTTGTGTATCTGGCCCCAGGGCCTGGCTCAGTTACGTACGAAAAAGGCAGCCAGGGCCTGAGCGCTCTCAACCAACTGGTGCTGCGCAACTGCCTGAATTTTTCCCAGCTGCGTGGTAGCCAAAACAAGGCCTCTGGGCCTTGGTCAGGCCTGCCTTCACTTAGGGCGGCCGACGCTGTTCCAGACAGGGCCCAGTAGGGCTTACAGAGGCCTTGTACCTCGCCTTTCCTCCTCCATACTTCGCTAGTCCTCTGAGAAGTTCATTCAATCTGGCGCTTTCCTTTCTGCAGCAACTTCTCGTAGTGGGCAACAACCTGTGGTGCGGTCTGCAGCAGTTCCTCCCTCGTAAACCATCTATCCTCCTTCGGATCAGTGTGATGTCTGAACCGAACGCGATACTGCAGCTTCGGTTTTGGAGGACGTCTCCTGCCTGTCGGTCTTGGAACTGGCATCTCTCTGCGGTCCACAATGTCGTCCATGTCGACCTCTGAGAAGTTCATTCAGTCTGGCGCTTTCCTTTCTGCAGCAACTTCTCGTAGTGGGCAACAACCCGTGGTGCGGTCTGCAGCAGTTCCTCCCTTGTAAACCATCTATCCTCCTTGAGATCAGTGTGATGTCTGAACCAAGCGCGATACTGCAGCTTCGGTTTTGGAGGACGTCCCCTGCCTGTCGGTCTTGGAACTGGCATCTCTCTGCGGCCCACAATGTCAGCGATGTCGACCTCTCCATCCATGGTTGGCGGCAGCATTGAGTGACGAGAGGGAAACTGATCAGTTTCTCCGAAAGGTGCGAGCTTGGAAGCGTGAAAGACAGGGTAAGTGCGAAGGTGACCAGGGATCCAAATTACATACCACGGCCCATCCGTATCATCCCCGACGATATCTAGAACCTCCCAGGGTCCAAAGTACTGTGGCATGAGCTTGCGGGATATCCCATGCTCTTGTCCCAGTTCTGAGGACTTGACCCAGACTCTGTCCCCTACCTGAAATGTGGATGGGCAGCGGTGCTTGTTCTCAGACTCTATCATCGCCGCCTCCTCCTTGTGCATCTGTTCTACAGCTTGCTGCATCAGACACTCATATCGATATGCAAACTCTGAGGTGCCTGGTGCAGCAGACGGCTGGTTTTCAGGTAGCAGGAAATCTAAGCGCAATCTAGGCTTGAAAGTCGCTAACAGACTGTTGGGGATCACCCCAGTTGCGCTGTGCGCAGCATTGTTGTACAGGCTGGCGATGAGACCAAGTTTCTCATCCCAGTGGACCTGATTGGGCTCGATGTAATGCGTCAGCAGGTGTTGTACAACGCGGTTCAGCTGCTCTGCTTGCCCATTTGCCTCTGGGTGGTTCCCGAAGGTCATCTGCAGCTGTGTCCCCTGTTCTGCAGCTGCTGCCTTCCACAGTTCACTGGTGAATCGCACATCCCGGTCACTAATGATGGACTTTGGCAAACCGAAGTCCCTGACCCAGTTCTCTTTGAACAGCTTAATCACGTACTTGGTCTTGGCTGTTGCAGGCACTGCGACTAACCTAGCATACTTGCTAAACCTATCCACAATGACATAACATATCTCATTCCACTCTTGCTGGTGACCAGCGTATCCATGAAGTCCATGGACAGGCTCTCACCGGGCCTTTCCGGTATTGGAAGGGGCTTGAGAAGCCCAAGAGGGGCCTATGTACGTGGCTTGTCTCTCTGACATACCTGACAAGTCTCCACATACAGCTTGGCGTCTCTCATCATTGTCGGCCACCAGAACCGCTGCAGCAAGTTGGCTACAGTCTTTTTATAGCCAAAATGTCCTGCGGCATCACGACACTCACCTTTTTTTTTTTTTTTTTTTTTTTTAACACGCCCCCGTCAGTGTTAGTGGTGCTGATAAGAGCAGACACCGCTAACACCTGGGGGGGAGCACCATCTATTGGTGGGGAGCGACACCTGCTGGAAAACGGGTCCAGCGTCCCTTACATGGGCAGAATTCGAACCATATCAAACTACGCAAAGACTCCCGGTTAGGCACACATAAGCGTTTATTCCCAGCCTTCTCAAGGAACAGCAGGCCGTTGACCAACTCAAACTCGGCAGAAGTCACTTTGTCCTTCGCCTCCATTCTGCGTATGATCTCAGCCATAAACGGGTCCTAGCGATAGGCTTCCACCAAAGACCGAGTAACATTGTCCGCAAGCCCAAATTCAGTGACCAGCGCACCCAGGAAGTCTGGCCTACGCGACAACGCACCAGCAACCTTGTTGTAGGACCCTTGATGTACTGGGGCTCGAAGTCATATTGCTCTATGACTTCAATCCATCGCTTCAGAGCATCAGAGAGTACCGGTTGAGTCTTCATCCACCTCAAGGTCTGATGATCAGTCCTGACGTAGAAGAAGCGACCAAGGAGGTAGTGCCTCCAATTAGTCAACGCTTTGTAGATCGCGTAGAGTTCCTTCCCGTAAGTGGATTTGGCCAGCTTTTGGGAGGGCATCTTTTTGGACATGTACTCTATCGGCCTTATCTTTTTCCCCTCCTACTGCGCAAGCGCGGCACCAATACCATATTGGCTGGCATCCGTGGTCACAACGAAAAGCTTATCAGGATCGGGCAGTTTCAAGACCTCATGGTGAGTGAGGGCATGTTTCAAATGTCTGAAAGCAGCCTCACACCTGTCTGTCCACTCCCATGGGGTGTCAAGGCGTGTCAGATCCGTCGAAGGTGTGGCCACTATGCTGTAATTCTTCACAAAATTGCGGTAGTAACCGGTCCTGCCTAAGAAGCATCTCATCTCAGTTACAAACTGAGGACGCGGCCAGTCACGAATGCTGGCCATCTTCGTGTCATCGGGCTTCAACCCCTCCGCAGAAACCTCATGACCTAGATATAAGATCCAGGTGCAGCCAAACTCACAATTCTCCCAGTTAATCTTAAACTGGTGCTGCCTAGATATAAGTACTTTGTCTAAGTGGCCAACGTGCTCCTCGACAGTCCTACTAAAGATAAGTATGTCATCGAGGTACATGATGACAAACTTGTCCAAGTACTCATGAAAAATCCGGTTCATGGTGTGCTGAAAGGTGCCAGGAGCATTGCAAAGGCCAAAAGGCGTCATCACAAACTCGTACAGACCGTACCTGGTCTGAAAAGCGGTTTTGTATTGATCCTCGAGCCGGATTGCAATCTGATGGTACCCAGACTTCAGATCTATCTTACAAAAGTACCGGCACCCTTGCACTTGGTCCAACAAGTCATCGGTGTGAGGTAGGGGCTCTGCGTTCTTTACAGTGATAGCATTGAGGCCCCTATAGTCAATGCACATCCTCAAGGTCCCTCCCTTTTTCGATATGAATAAAATTGGAAATCCGTAAGGGGAGACACTAGGCCGGATCCAACCCTTCTCTATGAGATCCTTCAGTTGTCCGCGAAGCTCGTCGAGCTCACCTAGAGACATCCGATAGATCCTACCCTTCAGAATGCTAGACCTCGGGATTATCTCTATTGCATGGACGACCTCCCTCTCTACAACCCCTTTCGGCTCTTCGAATAGATCATACTTGCGGTTAACGACCACCTTAAATTTCAGAATGAAAGATTCTGAAGTGGTCTGAAATCGCTGAAATGGCCTGAAGACACTTCAGGGCATTTTAGAAGTTTCGGGTGGTTTGGATGACAAGTTTTCTGGGGTTTTTTTTTTGCCTGTTTTTTTTTTTTTTTTGGTTTAACATTGCTATGTGTCACCTAAAATGACCTGAAGTGGCCGAAGCTTCTGAAAGGGGTTTCAGGTCCCCCCATCCATTTCATAAGTTTTAGCCACTTCAGGTCATTTGAGAAATTTCATGTGGGAACCTAATGACCTGAAGTGGTTGAAGCTTCTGAAAGTGGTTTCATGTACCCCCATCCAAATTGTTTGGATGGGAGTACCTGAAACCCATTTCAAAAGCTTCAGCCACTTCATGTCATTTCAAGAGTTTCCGGTGGGGACCTGAAGCGGCTGAAAATGAAATGTAAATAACGTCTGTTGTTAACCATCTCTCATAGATCAGAGTACTTAGCGACCACTCCCTCTATTTCTGGAGGCATTTTCACCGGCTCCCCTCTGCAAAGACATAAACTAAGTACATACCCTCCTCCGGATTTTGCTTATAGTAATTATAAAACGCAGTCACACACATGCACCCGTAGGACTCGATTAGACTACTAGCTTTATACTTCAGCAATCTGGCGGTCCCCCCGTTGGACAGCGTGTGTTTGACTCTTCTCCGGTCTCAATCAAACTGGGGTTGTGCAACCGAAAAACAGTACATGCCTAGCAGGATGTCCATTGGGAGATCATCGCTGACTAGGAACGAGACTCCATGTCTCAGCTCCACTCCCCCGTACAGGAAACAACACTCAACATCCTTAAGGTAGTCGTTAACTACCATGCGCTGTTTGTTGGCATAGGTCGACTCCACATGTCGACTCAGGCACTTCACTTGACCCTCTAAGCGCAGCCTCTCAATGCACGCGACTAATGAAGTTCCGTGTAGAGCAAGTGTCATAATAGGCCCCGACCTTGCAGCCGTCGATGACCACCTCGTCGACAAACAACTCACTCTTAGGGGCTTTGGCCATGGCCGTCCAAGAAGCTAGCGGGTCCAATCCAGACCACTCCTCCTCTAGCTCCTCTAAGGATTCAAACACATTCATCGAACAGAGGATCGATGAGTCTGAATGTGTTTGCGGGACGACAACGAAGTCAATAGCTTGGGTCAGCTCTCGAGATGGTGAGGGTGTTCCCACCACCTCGACCCTAGCAGGAACAACTACCATTCCTACTGGCCTGACGTGTTTCCCGAAGCAATGCCAAAACTGCTAGCAACATTGCTAGTCGGGGAAGCGGAGGATCCCATCGCCTGCCCTATTGTAGGCGGGATCTTTTCGGTTACCTTTCTGTTCCGACACTTGAACTGGTTATGGCCATATTGGCCACAACGAATACAAGCTTGCCGCGTGTACCGGTCTCTCCACACGTCCGCTGTGAGACCCGCTTTCTCCCATGGAGGAGCGTTAGGGTCAACTTGACTCCTAGAACGGGAGCCTCCACGGTGTCTACCGGTCCCCTTACCTTTCTGAACTGAGACAGCGACTGCTCCACCCCCTGAAGCCTCTGCGCTGCCCGCCTCTGTACCTACTCCCTCCTAGAAGTCGTCATTTAACTCGATGGTTGAACCATCGTATCGACGAACCTAATATGACATTTCGCCTTTCAGTTGGGAGGCAGTAACTTCTTCCTTCCATCCGTTGTGGGTTGGTGTCCATGCCCTATTTTGCTTCCAAGTCTAGGGCCTTCTTGCTAAACGAGGGGAAGTTGTGCACATTGATGTTTGCCTTACCCGCCAACTGATTCTTGAGTGGCATAGGAAGACATCTCAGGTAAGTGGTTAGCAAGACCTAGAGGTTATAGCGTACTCCAGGAACACATATCAGACGCTCCACTGCGTCTGTGGCATCGCTAATGGACTTTAACGCTCTATTGCTCAAAGTCAGGATCGCATCAGTGACCTTTTGGGCCTCCAGAGGATCATGCCACCTTTCCTCCACCAACTTAAGGAAGTCCTCGCATTTCTGGTTGACTGCCCAAGCGCGGAAGTCATGACCATATCCCTGTAGTTGCACTGGCCCACTTAACCATCTTGTTGCACTCCCCTCAAGGTAGGAGGCAACCACAAGCACGTCCTCGTGCGGCAAGGTCAACTTGCACTTAACATAGATTGGCACTGACCTCAACCATGTGTCAAGGTCTTCGCCCCTCTTATCCCATGAGAAGGGGTTTAGGTGAGGCGATGACCGTCTTCTGAACCCACTGGCTTTGTCCCGCTACCTGCAGCACTCCAGGCTATGGACCTTGGGGCGCAGGCCGCTGCACTAGCTGTTGTTGGGGCTGTGTGCCCTGCGGTTGTGCTGGCTGCGAGACAACAGGCTGCCCAGTTACGACAATCTGCAATGGAGATTGGGAATAGTCTGTCTGTACATGAATCTGTACACTAGGACCTGCTGAGAATCCTCCTGTCAACGACATACCTAGGGAAGCGGCTTGGATCGACGCTGGAGATGCATATGGATGATGTCAACGACACACCTCCAGTCAGCGGTGCGACAAAAGGAGGAGGTTGCACCACAGGCTAGGCACCAGGCCCTGATGGTCATGGTGCTGCCCAAGCTCGCCCGACCAGCACGGCCAGGTTCTATTGGATGTCCTGTAAGAGAGTCGTCTGGTGGTCCTGCATTTCCACTACATCTATCAGGACTGCCTCCAGGGTCCTCACATCATCATCCATATGGGTCAGGTCCATCCCCTCTAACTCGTTAACGTCCGCTTGTCTCCGTTACGTCCTCGATCTTCTTCTGATCATTCTTTCTTTCTCTGCCTTTATTTCTCCTAACACCTGCTGTAGTTGTGCCTTGCGAGCGGCTGTTCGCTGTATGGCGACCTCCTCGAGGTTCAACACTAACGGCTGGCTTGCCATAACTCCAGTGGACTGACTCAAGGTCTGCGCGGTGGTCGCCCCTACAATTCCTGAACTACTGGCCTGGGAGCTCTGTTGCGCAGCAGTGGCCATGGCTGCTGAAGTAGCGGCTTCGCTTGCGAACGCCCTGCTTGCCTCTGCGGCCCTAGCCCTCCGCTGCTGCTGCTGTCTCTCACCCTCTGGTCCTAATGCCAAGTGGGCTATCGGGCGCCTTGCTGATCGCAGGATCCTATCATCCTCTCCAGTGTCCTCCCTGTCGCTCATAAGCTACAGAACTGTACACAATCTGCACTAGGTCACTGTTGATGCCCACCGCAGCGTAGTGCACAGACCAATTTAAAATAAATAAATAAATAATTAATGGTTGTGTCAGAGTCTATACATTTGGGTCCAACAGGTAAGTCCAGATTCCTACAAACGAAACTATGTTACTTTGACTAGTCCGCAAACAAAAAAGCAATTGAGCAAAAACTGTTTCTACCTATGCTGTCTGTCAGATGTTAATGGCTGTACATCTAACTAATCACTGTCTCTTATACACATCTAGATGTGTATAAGAGACAGCATTTGGGTCCAACAGGTAAGTCCAAATTCCTACAAACGAAACTATGTTACTTTGACTAGTCCGCAAACAAAAAAGCAATTGAGCAAAAACTGTTTCTACCTATGCTGTCTGTCAGATGTTAAATAATTAATGGTTGTGTCAGAGTCTATACATTTGGGTCCAACAGGTAAGTCCAAATTCCTACAAACGAAACTATGTTACTTTGACTAGTCCGCAAACAAAAAAGCAATTGAGCAAAAACTGTTTCTACCTATGCTGTCTGTCAGATGTTAATGGCTGTACATCTAACTAATCAAAATAGAAATAGAATCATTTGTTGGGTGTGTTGGCAGAATGGAATTTTCCCGAACTTATCACCTGGAATCTACCCCTCCCTCAGTTCTTCCTGATTGTCGCTTGACGTCAGCATTCCTGAGCGATCCAGATAGTGTGCGTGTCTAAAGGTGTGCACACGACCCACCCCTGTGCCCCGAGTGTATGCTGAGCTGGCCAGCCCTGCACAATCTTTATCCTCGCGTGCAGCGAGCCTTACACCGACCGACTGGCTGATCAAGAGGCGTTTAAGGACGGCCCCCGAAGTCTTCAGGAATTATTTTACGTCGCAGACAGGACGATGATCACAGCCAATGGAAGGTACCCTGCCGGTGCTTATTTATAGACGCCCGGTACTCATCTCACCTGTAGGGCTGGCCTGCCCCTCATCACCCATCTGTCAGTGCAGCAGGCAGACAAAGGACAAAGCAGCAAAGCATGCGTGCTCTACTCCCAGTGGGTTGGCATGATGACCGTGACCCAGTGCTTCGTCCAGGGCTCTTCAGATAGCTCCGCCCTCTCCTTCCAGATGCTCCACGTGAACAATGTGGACTCTCAACGTTGAGCGCACTCGACTCCTCACATGAGAGGACTCTCAAGACAGAACACACAACCTCACGGTAAGAAGTGTCAAAGAGGGTAGATAAGGTTAAGAGCAATGTACCTCAAAATAGCTGCCCCCAGCCACAGATATTCTCACCAGATGACCTGATGCCGACTGTGATGACCAATCGCTACTTCAGCACAACCAGCATTACACCGCCGTTCCACCTCAGCATCAATCGCACATCAGATAGTTCTCATCACACTGCGAACACCAAATATTCACCACGTAGCCTTTTTGGCGATACCCCTCACCTCCTGGGTTGCCTGCTTGCCTTCGCCCTCCTCACTACACACTCCCTACGGCCGCTCACCCAGCAGACCGCACGCATGTACCGCATAGGCAGAAGACACACGCCAGATTAGCGCACCGTACCACAGCTCCGATACCAAATTGCAAGGAAAATGCGGGATAGCGAACTTCAGAAACCAAGCAGCATCATCCACATGAAACCAGAGTCGTGACCTCGAACCAAAAGCAGAATTGCAACACGAGTTTCACCAAATGAAAGCACAGCAAAAGCTCATAAGTGATAATGTTGGAATAGTCTCATCATCATCAACAATGAACCAATGTCGACATCCTATCTGGCGCTCTGCGCCCAGACTACAAATGGCAGATCCTATCTGGCCTATCTACAATGCCGCTGGTGACGTCAACAGCTCCCCGAACTACGAGCAGATCCCGGCCAATGCCGTCGCCTCAAGCACCAGGCCCCAGGTATGTCTCTTGCATCACTCACAACCTCGATCCCCCACTCACAGATGCCACGTGCACCCAAGGACAACCATGCGCCCCATCCAGCTCAGCGCAGCGCAGCTCGGCTATGGCTGCCTGCTCTCCCTCCTCGCCCGTGAGCGCGTGGGCCTGGCCAGCATTTAGCGCAGCAGCGCTTGCACAGCATGCAGCCAGTGCCCCAATGCCAAATGCGAGGGCAGGCACTTTCCTAAATGGAAGTGGCCTGCCTGCTGCGTGTGTCCTGGCTGCACTGGGCCCATGCCCAGAAGCTTCCGGTAGGCCCCGAGAGGCTGAGGCTCGGCCAAACCGAATCAGGCCCAGGGCCTGTGACGGTTGCCTGTGCCCAACTGCTTGCAGCCTGCGTTCGGCCCTTGTTCTGTATCTGGCCCAGGGCCTGCCTCAGTTACGTACGAAAAAGGCAGCCAAGGCCTGAGCGCTCTCAACCAACTGGCGCTGCGCAACTGCCTGAATTTTTCCCAGCTGCGTGGTAGCCAAAACAAGGCCTCTGGGCCTTGGTCGGGCCTGCCTTCACTTAGGGCGGCCGACGCTGTTGCAGACAGGGCCCGGTAGGGCTTACCGAGGCCTTGTACCTCGCAGCAGAGTCTAGATACAACTAAAATGACTGGGGTTTCTTTTCATGCGAAAAGTGTAGTTCGCATAATAAAAAACACCCTGATCACAGCAGCTGTTTTAGAACGGTGATTGATAAAGGAAGAGAGTTAGGGCATACTCACGCACCTGAATAGAACGCGCAACTTTTTCTACTCACTTGGGATGTAATTAGCCGTCAGCGCCCGGTCTAGATACAGTCATAATGACCGGGCGTTCGATTCGGGTGAAGACGGTAGCTTAGTTGGTGCCCCCTGAGCTGTTGAAGTACAGACCTGAGTTCAAACTCCACTGGAAGCAGATGAGTAAAATTATACTGCAATAATTCTGAATACCAAGGGCCGGTCAGTTCGACCATGATATCTCAAGGCCGTCGGCCATTAAAATATGGGAAGGAAAAAGAAAAAAGCCTGGGAAAGATTTTAGCCTCTGCTGGTAGCAGTGGGAAACAAAATTGTGAAAACAAAATAAAAGAAATGGTTTGCAGCAAATATTATTTTCCAGCCCTCTATGGACCTGAGCGTCCACACGTTTTTTGGGCCAAACAATAAGCGCAATAATTTCGTGCACTTCAATTTTTGCACCCTGCCGTTGACCCGCACAGCTGGCAGACCTCTGCCCACTGCACCACTCTTTCCCTCCCCCCTGGCCTCCTCCCTTTCTTCCCGAACACACATTGCCGTGGCCTGATTTTTTTCGTTTTTTTGCGTTGTCTGAGATCATGGGTGCGAAAAATCATCTTTTTTTTTTTTTTTTTTTTTTNTTTTTTTCCTGCTGGAAAGCGGGTCCAGCGTCCCTTTTGAAATACATTGAAATACATTGACTAAGCAAGATGTAGGAAGTAAAAAAGTAAAAAGGGGCCTCTTCACCCTGCAGCCGGCGCCAGATGTCTTCTGCCACTTACCAGGTTGCGAAAAATCATCAAAGTTGGTATCCTTCAATTCTTTGCAACCCTGAGCTGATCTCCCGCGACTGGTATGCCACCAGCCCCCAGCCCCCCAGCCCCCATCCCGCCTCCCCCCCACACAACCCTGTGCCACAGCAACTTACCGGTATCTCAATTTCGGACTTTATGAGTGTGATTAAGAATGAGTTCTTAAGACTGAGTTAATGGGCCATAAAAAAACTTCGGAGTCTATGGGACAAAACAGATCAGCCGAGAGAGTTAAGTCGTCGAAAGGGCGAACAATCCGGATGCTCTTCTCAGAGAGGATGTGCACCGTATGTGAAGAGATCCACCTGCCTGCCAGGTTTCACGGCACAGGCAAAGGCATGGTCATCTGGGTGTCATCGTGGCCTGTGCATATTGTCGTGCCTGCTGAGACCACTTTGACCGATAGTAGACTGAAAATATAAAAATTGCTGTGAGGGACATCTGTCAAAATTGGAACAATACGAAGAAGATTAGCATGCCCCCTGCGCAAGGATGACAGACAGAAATCGAGAAAGGGTCCAAAAAAAGCAAAGAAAAAAAAAGCAGCACTTGCAACACCACAACAGGTCCCTTTCAATCAGGTAATGACACCTGCTCATGTACAGCTGGTCACATGGAGGCACTGTGTGACAGCAACGGGACCACCAGCTCATGTACAGGTGGTGTTAAACATGGACCAAGAACACGCCCCCCCCTCTCCCCGCTTCCTTCTCCTCTCCTCCCCCCCCACCCCCCGCTCCCTCAATTTCCACTTTTGTCAATGAACAGAAGCACTTCCAAGGGACATCCGTCTAGATTGGAACGGTAAAGAAGATTGCCATGGCCCCTGAACAAGGACGGCACCCATAAATTGAATAACGGAAAAACAGAAGCACTCCTACACCACAACAGGTCCCTTTCAATCAGGTAATGACACCTGCTCATGTACAGCTGGTCACATGGAGGCACTGCGTGACAGCAACAGTACCACCAACCAATCTTACCAGGGGCCGTGTTTAATATGCGCCAAGAACACAACCCCCGCACCCCCTGCATAGCAACTTCGCATAACTGTTCTGCCCCCTTCATAGGGCAGACATAGTCATTCTTCACACTACCTAGACGCTCTACAATCTGCTGCTGCTGTGCAAATGGTTTCTTATAAGGTTCGTATTGGTCTTATGATTCTTATCATAGTTATTAACTACTGAATAAGTAAGAGTATACTAACACTAGGCCCTCAAAATCACAAAATAACAAACCGAGCAGCCAGATAGAGTCTTTCAATTACAAGGACTCAATCTGGCCACTCATTTTGCGATTTTGCGATTTTGAGGGCCTAGCGCGAGTATGCCCTAATTTGTGCATTGAGCATGCCATTGTCTCTTCTGAGGGCGTACTCCCACTAGGACTTTCCTGGATGTATCTGACCAGACTTCCAGAATGACCTCGATGTATCTGACCGCAATTACGTCCAGAGCTTAGTCCAAAACGAACTAGTGCGAGTATAGACTTCCAGAATGACCTCGATGTATCTGACCGCAATTACGTCCAGAGCGAGTATGCTCTGAGAGCACTTCAACAGTGCATGAGTACTCAGATCGAGCGAACAGAAAGCCGTCCAACACTGCGACTCGGGCAAGTTCCTTGCTGTCTTCTCTCACCCGCTCGACTGGAGCAGGTACGAGACCTGACAAAGTGCTCATGTGGACTGCTACCCAACAGTTGGGATTGCATCAAAGACAAGGGAAACAAATGTATTATAGACTTCATAGTATCTATACTAGTTTATAGTTTATTTAGGCTATACTCTCCCCAAAAAGAGGCCAGGTCGCTCCTCGCCTATGTGGCTGCTACTGTCTTCTGCGCCTTTTCAAGGAACACCTACTCCTTAGCACGTACAGGAAGCCACACAGGTAAGTAGGTTCCCTAAGTGCTTGTGCTGCGGTGGGCGGAGAGCCTGCTATCGAAGTCAGAAGAAAATATATCAGACCTTCCTGCATTGGCCAGATTGCTTTGGCAATTCCTTGCTCAAGACTACACATTTGCATCGCAAGGGCTCAGTATGGGATCAGCATGGCTCGCAAGGGCGAAGCAGATGCTCAAAAGGGAAGAAGCGGCATGGCCACAGTGCAGTGCCTACGGAGAGTCTCATTTTCCATCCTGGGTCTTTCTTTGAGAGACATGGCAGTCTTCTTTTGGCACACTGAGAGCGCGCTCACACAAAGTCTTTCCGGAATATGCATCTGACTGCAATTACAGCCAGAACTCCATGAGTCCGACTGCAGTCACGTCCAGAGATTAGTAGAAAAAATCCTACTGTGAGTATGCCCTGTGAGGGACTTCAACAAATGCTTTCTCTGTCTGTTTGTTTTGTGAAGGTGATTGTCAGGCAGGGGACTGATCTCACCAGTGGGCCAAAACGACAGCCAATCCTTCCAAAGAAACTAATCAAAGTCCCCCGGGCCGTAACATGGGGAAGCGTCGCTCAACGGATAAAAGTTATTAACAGGCTGATCTTTCCCAAGCGTTCACATCGGCGGGAAGGTTTGGCACCTACAGAAGCAGTTTTCCCAATCTGCAGTAAACCACCAGTACCTTTCCCATATATCGGCCGGCCCCCTCACTGAGACTTTGGAAGGCCTGAAATGTACCACGGGCCGCCGATGAAATTTATTGACGGCGGCCTGGCCCCGAAAGTTTCCCGCATAACCTGCTGCGGCATAGTTTTTCAAGCGGGGAAAGGCGCAGGAGCCTGGCGGTTTAAACTTGATGTTTTTTCTTGCATTCCTGCTCCACCAGATCCACACATACTAGAAGTTAAGCCAAAGAATATTGAGTTGCCCATTGAAATAGATGCTTTTCTCCTACACTAGATCCCATAATACCACCCATAAATTGAAAATCCATTACCCCTAAAGCACCGAGTATTCCATTTAATTTATTGATCCCTGTTTGTACTGTATCGGTGAGACCTGTCTGTTTTTTATTTTCTCCAAGTTGCAGTTGGTATTTTTGTTGATCCAGTTCGGCGAAAATCCATTACCCCTACATCAGACTGTGGACAAGTTCTATGATTTCTGACTTGCTGGGGAAACAGTCCTTCGGGACATCTGTTAAAATTGGAACGATACAAGAAGGAGCTGAAGCTGCTGAACTGATGCTACCCAGAACGCATACGGAGACAGGCCCATAAGTAACTGTTTTAGTACTTCGACTTTTTAATCTAAAAGAAGAAGGCTGCAGGCAGTGCTTTAGGACACCTGTCAAAATTGGAACGATACAGAGAAGATTGGCATGGCCCCTAACGACACGCATAAATAGAGAAACGGATAAAAGGGAAAAAAAACAAAGAACTGACGGAGGCTTACCGCTGCATGGAAAATTTTAAATTTGTGCATGGTTGCAAAATTCGCTGCTCCCTCAACCGAACAGGCGGTATAACTGCGATCACCACAAAAGCTGCACCACAGGCAACATCATTCTGCAAGCTCGACGCACACATACTCGGTATTAATCATCCATGAAAATACGTTTGCCCCTTGCTGTTGCAGCTCAGACCAGAAGTATGGTTTCTCCACCAGAACACTGAGCTGCAATAGAGGGTGGAGATGACCATTCACAAGGACCACAGGGGCCACAAGCTTGCAGCTGAAGACGGCCGCGGAAGCATAAAAGGCACACTATTGGTTAGAGTGGCGGCGCTCTACACACGAAGTCGAATCACCTGAAGGATGGATTCTTGAGGAATGTTGTTGGGAAAGATGAGCAATCGTAAGAAGAATAAGAACAAAAACACCAAACGTACCCGTAGCGTATGTAACACAGTGCCAGGCTGGTGACTGGAGAGGATGTTTCTCTCTCGTTCCAGTTGAGTAGGGCATTGATCATCATGATGCAATATGAGAAGATGTTTACCTTTTCGAGATGAGGACACATCAATCGCACAGCACCGTTCCCCGTTAAGCGACATGGCATGATGGAGATGACGAGATGACGTCGAGAAAAACCTTGACGAACCGGACGAAGAGGTTAAGGAATGATGAGAACAGGACAACAATAAAAAATTACGATGAAGGCATGCCTCATGTCAGTCCTCAGCAGCATCCCCACCGAGCTGCCTCAACGGTTGAACCCCCCTTGAAACCCGAGCTCTCTCTAGCTCACCTGTTCTCCAATCGCGTGTTGAGAGGGTTCTGCTCGCACGCAAGCTGTGGTGGATATTGCTTCCCTGCACAATGTTCCAGCAGCAATTCATCAGCTCAAAGTGCCCACGAGTATTATTGCAATTGGTTTGCGCGTGCTTGAGCAAACAGATTCTGAAGGCACGACTTACGTCAGTTGCTGGCAGGCTCCTCACCAGGTAGATCCAGTGCTTGAACCATTTGTAATTGAGCTATCATGCAAGCAGTAGTGAATATTGCTCCCCTGCACGATAGGCCAGCACCAGTGCACCCACAACGACACGCTGCCAATTCTTCAGCTCATAGTGGCAATGAGTATTATTCATACTTGCAACCGCACTGTGTGCTGTACATTCCAGTGCACCGCACGACGTGCAGCGCGGCACCTTCTCGTGCACTGTACCAACAGCAGTTTCCCTTCTTTTTGTTCTTTTTTTGCTGTCTTTGTAGATACAGAAGAGTGCAACACCTAACAGTCATACAGATTTTTCTTTCCGTCCAATTGGGCATCAGAAATAGCCTCAAAAAGGCGACCATTGACCCAGCCATGCGACCCTTTTTTTTTTTTGAGTGAATATTTCCCCCGTGCGCCGCACATGCTGTGTGCCCCACCGTGCGGGTCCGCTCGTGCGCCAAACGTACGGAGTTTTCCGGACGGCGTCTGCTTCCATGTATGGTATTATTGTGGTTGATTTGCATGTGCTCCAGCTAACAGACATTGTGAAGGCATGACTCACGTCAATCACTGGTAGATCCTCACCAGGGCGATCCGCTGCTTGAATTCCTTGTAATTGAGCTATCGTGCCAACCCGGTCTTCGGCCGTTCGTTGAGATGGTTCTGCTCGTGATCCGTGGGACATTGCTCCACTGCAAGGTGCTCCAGCATCACAGGCGGTTTGTCTGCAATGACATTTCTGTGGCAATTTCATCATCAGCTAAGATTGGCCATCATTGAGTCTTGTCATGGTAGGTTCGCATGTGATCCAGCGAGCTGCTGTCAATATGTCGCAGGGGTAGCTCCTTCTCGGCCAATGGCCATTCTCCGCGCGGCACACCCAGGCAACCTTTCCGTACGTTGTTTCTCGGAAGCTCGGCCAGTGAGGTGAGCTGCCTAGTATGGTCAATCACTATTTTGTAATTGCTCACTACAAGCTCACTCCATCATTCTCGCCTGCTAACAATAATTTTCAATAGCACCCTCAGGCTCGTCTCATGCATCGGTGCCTCGCTGTGTTACCTGCACTCATCAGCACCTTCTTGTAAATCTCTAACTGTGTTACTCACGCCCATCGCCACCTCTCTCCCTGCACCATGTCAACCGCAGGTGAAAGCCCTTCGACACCGTTGCCAAATCAGTATAAGAGTTGTCGACAAGCCGCTTCACATACTGCTGATGTGGCATTGCCACATGGCTGATGCGGAACTCTATTCTGTCACCATACTCAGCACATGGCGTGTAAAAGACGGCTGATGCGGACGTCTCCAGTTTTGATATCAGTGCTAAAATCAAGCCGGATTCAAATTGACGCCCATCTAGGCTTGATGACATCCAAACAGGCAGTCGCTCGCCTTGATCAAAACTCCCAAACTCCCAAAATTTTGTTTCTCCATGAGCAATCGGAAACTTGCCTATACCAGTGGAAAATTATGCCCGCCTGGGCGTCTGTCAGCCCAGAGCAAAATACAACAAAGCGTGGGGCAACATGCTTATGTATCTTACAGTAACAAGCACCCATAGCTGCTGTGTCCTCACCTCGCCTCCCTTGATGACAGGCCAACAACATGATTCCCCTCGTGCTAGACTTCACAAACGTTTGAATCCCATCGAGCATGAGTGGGCCTCCATTTGCTTCCCCCTCTTGCTACCGCCTTCCCCTGAATATGACATACAGTCACTATAGCTGTGTTTGGGGCAACTTTCAGTCTAAGACACAACGATAACGAGGATAGGTTCTATTTGGGTGGAGACGGTAGACGGTGAAAATATCTGATTCTTCTTAACCACTGCTATTTGGGTGAAGACGGTAGACGGTGAAAATATCTGATTCTTCTTAACCACTGCTCCTCCTCCTTATGTATATGTCATTAAAAGAAGAATCGCCAACACAAAGATGATGCCTTTCGCCGTTGGCATCAGTGCGCCACCTGCACTGATGTCAATGTCCAAGGATATGAATGGAAGGCTGTAGATACGACTAAGCCACAAAGTAACCAAAGAAGGCCATACAGTGTACATACCCCATCAACGAACACAAATAAGCCCATCAGCAGAAAGTTGATGCCCATCCAAAAATAGCAAAGGGCCATAGGCCCTATTGTTTTGTTTTTCGTTTACCTGCAATAAACGGCGGACAAGAACTGCAGCACAGTAGACAAGACGACCGTGACCAAAAATAAAACAAAATAACATTGAAAAAATACAAAGCAAATCATGTTCCCACAGTTGCGAGCACGAGAGCGTGAGCATTGTCGAATACAAGTGTGAGTTGTACGGAGTGTGGCCTCGTTCCACTGCTCACCACATGCACAAAAAAACAAAAAAAATGGCAGTGTATATTGCATGGTAACCGATCGGATGTCCCGACCGGGTTCCAGACAGTCCGGAACAACATGTCCGGATGCACAAAAAATCAAAAAATATGACAGTGTATATTTCATGGTAACCGATCGGACGTCCCAACCGGGTTCCAGACAGTCCGGAACAACATGTCCGGTGTCCGGTGTCCGGTCCTTATGTCCGGATGGAGGCCCCAAGGGCAAATATCGAAAAAAATAAAGGCGCGGCCCAAGACGTTTTTCAGGTCCTGGCCGCCCCTTGAAAAATAATGGTCTGATTTTTCAGTGTCGTTTTACCCCGCCGGACAGAGGTCCGGACACAAGACACTGCAGGTTTTTGGGGTGGCGGGTTTCACACAGGCCCGAGCAATTTCAAAGCGGCCATTTCGACATGCCACCAGCCGCTGCTGTGTGTGTGTAGGTGTGAAGAGAGAGAGAGAGAGAAAGAGAGAGAGAGAGAGAGAGAGAGAGAGAGAGAGAGAGAGAGAGAGAGAGAGAGAGAGCTTATACACATCTAGATGTGTANGAGAGAGAGAGAGAGAGAGAGAGAGAGAGAGAGAGAGAGAGAGAGAGAGAGAGAGAACTGACAGTGCTGCCAGTCTGAAGACTCTGACGTTCTGAATTGAACTGCGAAGTTCGAACTTATAAGTTATATGAAGTTATGAACTTAAATTACTTAATTGAAATTGATTCAAAGTTCAAACTTCAAAGTTAACCATACTTTTTTATTTTTTTTCCCCACTGTTTCTTAGTCTTGTGCCTGCTTTGCACTGTTTGCAACTCTGCATGTCTGCTAGTTGAATGTGCTTGTTAATTTGCTGCAAGACAGGTGCTCTGCTGCCTGAACTACGAAGTGCAAAGCAGGTAAGAGCCTGCCAACAGGGCCCCCCCCTCCCCCCCTCCCGTTTTTTTTTTTTGGTCCGGACATTTTGTACCCCCTGACAATGGCCCGGACTATCCAGGTCCGGTCCGTGTGTCCAGTGATGTCCGGATCACCGGACAGTCTGGACCGGTCTAGACACTGGTCTGGAAGACAGTCCGGGAGTGTCCGGTGTCCGTGTCTGTGGTTACCATGGTATATTTCCATGTTCTAGCGGAAGATTCATTCTCATTTTTAAAAATTTGGTGAGTAGTGGAGCGAGGCCCGATATCATAGCTGCGCTTACGATAGATAAATAACTCTGACCACTCGTGCTGCTGATATGTGTAGCCAGGCATCCTAAACCACCTGTACATCGTCCAGGCAAACTTGAGAATCGAAATCAAGCCAATCCGAAATTTTGACGGCTCAGGGCTATGTGACCACAATGGCTGGTGGTGCCAGCCAAAAAAGGAGAAAGTGTGCGCTGCTGGCGGTTTGGCAAAGCTAGGAGTGCAGTGTTGTCGCTATACACTGCGTCTGTGAGTGTTGCCTTGTTCACTATGTGCGGGAGGGAAAAGAGCCAAGCCGCTGCGCCGAATAGGGGACCGGCCCGCCTGGAACCGCTTTTTCCCCCGGCCTGGCAGCCTTAACTTCGGTTGGGCTGTGGACTTCTAATTTGCGCCGTTGGCCAACCGGTACAGGAGGCAGCGAAACACAGGAGCGAGAGGAGGAGACGAGCAAGGCAGAAGTAAATTACCAGAGGTAGAAGGCAATCGAACGAAACCAATGAGCTCCTACAAAAGAGGGCAAATCACTGCTGCTGCTTATGATTAGATGGCAGCAGTGGTCTGCATTTCATTCGTGTGAAGCAGAGATGGCCATGTTCAGCATATTGAGAGGACGCTTCAGGTGCTGCAAGGTTCAGGGTTCAAGATCACCATCCAGAACAGTGATTTATTCCTCACGGAAATTGCGTTTCCGGGCTATGTGGTCAAAACGGAGGTTTGGAGCCCAATCCAGAAAAGGTGGAGGCGTCTTGAGTGAACCCATCCAAAAAACTGCGTTGCCTGTCCTATTTGTGTTGCTTTTTCCCTGCCATGGCGCGCACGCCCTTGTCTCATTACTGCTTGGCGATGCGTGTACAGCAAGCACACTTCAGTGTGAGTGTGTACATGTTTTCCGGTGCACTTTTAGGTGCAACAACTTATTCGTTTATCTTGGGTGGGCTTCATTCGCAATCCACCAGCACAGTGCACCTCTTCAGTGAGACATCAGCAGAGCAAGAACCTGGTCGCAATGCGGCCAATCATCATGGGGTGCATGCATGCCTAGCCTGGCCTAGTGTTTCAAATTTTTGACCGAACTATTGCCACTCAGACAATCCAAGCATTTCAAATTGGAATCGACAAAGGAAGAAAAGGACATAGGGGCCTGATAAGGCACAAAAAATAAAGAAAGAAAAGATTTCCGAACGCTTGGAGAAAACTCTGCCGATCTTGATTACAATAATATACAGACCTGCCTTCTTTTTCAGTGATGGAAAGTCAAATCAGTGCAGCGACAATTGCTGCAGAGCCCGGGAAGATGATTCACTGCAAAAACTCACTCGCTGCAAATATCACAAGTAGGAGCTAGGGCGGAACACGCCGTGCGACAGTCCTCCGTCGCTTGCCTCCGCTCCATCGGAGCTCATCGTCTTCCGCATCAGCTGAATCCTGTGCTTCAGGTGCAGTGCTGCTACAGTCCTCCACATTCAGAGCGTTTTCGCAAAGCCTATTCCTTGTCGTCTTTCTACTACTCCCAGGACCACCTCGATGGGGTGTCGATGCGACTTCTTCTTGACGTTGTGGTTGACTTTCCACTTCCCGATGAGGCATCAAGTCGTCCTCGTTTTCCAGCCGCTCCTGCATGTCCTGTGACATAAACAATGACATAAAAACCGCCCAAACCGGTATGTTACTCCACTCCTCATTTCACTTTGAATATTTTTTTCTTCCCTTACCTTCTTTAAGGGAATAGCGGGTCTGGCGTCACGCTCCCGCCAGGCCCGGCTGCCACTCTTGGGAACGAGTCGGGGACACCAGGGATGGGCCCGGCAGACACCCGGGGCGTCGTTTTTTTTTTCCTCTTTTGCCTCGCGCGTGGCATGGTTCCAGAAGTTTCTCGCGCCCAGCGCCGCGACGTGGGGAGATACACCGGTCGTTCGTATGAGACTGAATCTGCTCTGGAACATGGGGAGATACACAGGTTCCCTTTTGTTCGTTTGTTTCGTTTCTTTTTTTTTTGTCGTTTTGCCAGTTTCCTTTTGTTCGTTTCTTTCCTTTTTTTTCTTTTTTCTGTCTTTTTGCGGGCCCGTTGTTTTCGTTTTGGCCTGAGGGCCTCGCTGCACTTCTCTCCAAATGTGCAAATGAGACTGAATCCACTGCTAGAACACGGAGAAATACATTGCCATCTTTTTTGTCTTTTGCGCACGTGGAGAGTACCAAGCGTCTTTCCTTTTTTTTGTCGTTTTGCAGGCCCTCCATCGGGAAAGTTCGTTTAGCATGGCTCCTGCGCAAGGGTCACATTTGCAAATCGAGGGGGACGTCGCACAGCTGCGAGTTCACGCACAGCACCTGCGGCGTGCGTGTTGCTTTTCCGTGTCCGACAAAGGCGGTGGGGACGAACGGGATGAGCGGGAGGGGGGGGGTGGAAGGGTGAGGACCAGGGC